TCGAAAAATCTGCTAATTGGTTATTCCCAATACAATACAAATATCGCAAGTGGGCTCTCGTGCAGCTGCGCAAAACCAACGAGGTTGAGACGCCATCATAAAGAAAAAACAACACAAACATGTCTTTGGACGCCATTTATTAGCGGTTTTTTTATAAGTCGATTTCTGTGTTAAGTGCACTTATATCTTTAAAAATGTTTATATGTGTAAGGTTAAGGGACGATGGCGTAAGAATGGTTGTCACAGCGGACAAAATAAAAAAATTGACATAAGCAATATCGACTTCGACCACGCCTACAAACATCCTTTGCAAGAAAGACAAAGAAATGATTAAAACCGAGTAATTTTATTTATTTTTTTATTACTTTTTTTGTGATATTAAGTTATATGTCTCAATATATACATATATCACAAAAAAATAATAAAGAAATAAAATTAATCAGTAACAATAAATTTTTTGTCTCTTCTGTGAAAAATTAATTCTGGTTTTAACCCAGTTATCCTTGTGGGATCTAAAATTATTTTTGAATGAAAAATAAACTGTTAGGTATTTTCTAATCCAAATTTAAAAATATTAATTGGTTTTAATTGGTTGGAATGGGTTTGGCGCTATGAATTACCAATTCATTCCAAGTGCATTTCTATTGTATTTAGCCAATAGAGACAAGCATAGGCATGGATTGGTATTTTCCTATCCAAGCCGCTGACTTCATTGGAACTTACCAATAGGAATGCAACTGGAATGAATTGGCGATTCATAGCGCCAAAACACATTTCAAACCAATTACTTATTTTTTATTGGATTCTATTGGTCATTTACAATAGGGTTATTTATTAACGCAAAATGGCAGTAACATGAAATAATTTAGTTTACAGTTTCATAAAAATTTCAATAGCAAAAAACAAAAACTTATATAAAATAAATACATCAATATAAATAACATTTTACATCTGATTCAATTGGCGTTTAAAAATGCAAAAGGACACCAAAAATGGTTAGGAATATCATTAACAATCCTTGCCACACGACATATAGGCGAATTGCTGGCGTACGCAATTTATAACAATGGGACTTGCAATAAGGCATTATTTCTTAAGTCTCTACAAGGAGCATGGATAAAAAGCAAGACAATGTTTATCACTAAAAAAAGATTGAATAAATATTCTTTCTTCTCTGAATAAGTGTTTTAACCCTCAAATACTGTCTTGTTTGATCAGTGTTACATAGATGAAGAGGCAGCTTATATGACGTATTAATCTATTCTGAGTGCTTTTCAACCTATTTATGTGAACATAACAAACTGTATACCATATCGTAGATGCATATTAAAGTTTAGAGAACATACCAAGGATGCATTGGGTTTCATACTGCAACAGTAGTACGCAATATGAAACCCAACATCCTATTTGCTTCCATAACCATTTTATTAAAATGGTTGTGAAATTTCAGTTTGTTGTCTAAAATAACATCAAGGTCCTTAACCATCTAAACAGATTCTAATTTTTAGTCGTTCAGACAGTAGAAATTTAGATAATTATCCTTACTTCTGGAAAAGACAATAACCAAACATTGGTCATAATTTAAAAACAGTAGTTTTTTTGTAAGGCTTCCACATCCTTGTCAAAATATTTCCAATGTCATTCACAAAAATTAAAAACAAAATAGGTCCCAAGTGCGAACCTTGCGGAATTCCACTGGTAACGTTAATAACATCAAACATAAAACTGTTTAGCTGAATACGTCCCGCGAGATACAAAGCAATCCATTGGTAAAAAGGTGTATACTCGGCGAGCTTAGTCAATAAAAAAAATCATGATTCACATCAAACGTTACTAAAATAGGTATATATTGAATGGACTTCCATACCCTTATCCATGCAGGATGTGATCAAATTTATGTAAGAAAATAAATTAGTAACTGTTGAACGCCCCTCGGTAAAGCCATGTTGCTGCGGAATGTTTCTAAATGCAGATGTTAAAAATGGAATTACAATTTTTTTTTAAATATTTGAGGAATAGCTGATTAAATGCATACCTGCCTGCATTTAACTTGTCGCCTGATTTAAACATTGACAAAACATAAGAACTCTTCCATGCTTCAGGAAATACCGCGGTGCAACAATTTATTAAGTATAAATAAAAGGTCCATCAGGTCCAAGCCTTTATGGCAATCCAATTTATGTAATGTATTTTCAAAAATGATATAAACAACAGATAAATATACTGAATCTTTATTTGCGATTTTTGGATGGTTCCTACAGAAAAAAATTGCTTGATTTGAATTGGCATAAACAGATTCAAAATGAGATGCAAACAGATTAGCCATTGATTGTCACCTCTAATAAACGATTTTAGGAATATCCCCAGTAGGGTGCTTCAAAAAATAAAATTTAATTTTTTTTTCGCTCTTACCCTCTCAAATGTTTCTATTTAATATAAAAAAATCCTCACCAAATATGGGCGTTCCAGCTCAACTCTAAGAGGTCGCTGTTTTTATTTTAGTTTCCCATTAATTAACATGGGAAAAAATAATTTTATGTTTGCAGTTTCTTATATAAAATGTAACGCTTTAACGATTAACATCAAATTTTCTGTTTTTTTTAATTTAATGATACAATCAGCAGACGGGAGGTGAAAGGGGGCAAAACAAGGCAGCGGGGGGGCACAATGGGGTACCCAACATTTCGTAAAAATTTTTTTTTTTTTTATTGTTTTTTTCTGTTTATTATTATTCGAAAATATATTGACTCACAAGTTCACGCTTTTAATCGAAAATAATTATTCTGAGCCTGTAGAGCGAGAAAAAGGATCGTACAATTTTGGAAAACTTTTCATATGCTCATTTTTTGGGTTTCCCATTTTGACCCCCCACCCCTGCTGCCTTGTTTTGCCCCCTTTCACCTCCCGTCTGCTAATTGTACCATAAAATTATAAAAAACAGAAAATTTGATGTTAATCAAACTTTGACCTCGTATATCTCTAGAAGAAATCAATTTATCGAAAAATAATAAAAGAGCTTTTTTGTAGAGCGATACATTTTTTATAAGAAACTGTAATGATCATTGCCATAAGTTACTTTGATACAGAGGTATAAAATTTCAAACATAAAATAATTTTTCCCATCTTAATTAAATGGGAACTAAAATAAAAACAGCGACCTCTTAGAGTTGAGCTGGAACGCCCATATTTGGTGAGGATTTTTTTATATTAAATAAACTGCTCGTCATAAAAAACGACGCACCTAGTTTTTTGGAATATATTTGAAAGCTCGTTATTGGAAAATAGCATTATACTACAGGGTGTGTAGAAGAGATGCATTATTTTCGAAATTTCAAGTTATTCCCATTCATAGGGCAGTTGACTTTGATAGTCGTAATACCCCTCCCTGATATAAGTTAGGTAATCCCTCGGAACGTTTTACAGATTTTGTGGATATCTTGGCTAACTACGATTATATGCCTTTTTTTTTAAATTGTCGTTTAGTCCAAAAAATGAGCAATAGTGGATTCTTTGACTTACGTCTAATTTTGGGAATACGATATTGTGTACATGACATTATACTACAGGGTGTTAAAAAATATATGTTTTTTTCCAAAATTTCAAATACCCATTCACAGGGCAGTTGAGCTTGATAGTCGTAATACCCCTCCCTAATAACAGTTAGGTAATCCCTCGGGACGTTTTCGAGATTTTGTAGATATCTTAGCTACGATTATATGGCAATTTTTCGAAAATTCACGTTATTCTTCTTATAAGTCCCAAAAATGAGCAAACTACGGAAGGCATCTATTAGTTATCAACACAGAGTTTTAGGTAGGTAACGTGCTTTCAGATTATGTACGTTGCGTTGCTACACAAAAGCAATTTTTTTTGGTGAAATTCAAAATAAAAACGCAAACCAAACAGCATTATTCTCGTAAACTTATTCAGGCTATATACAATTTTCTACAAACGGTTTACCATGAAAGTTTAAAAAATATGGTGCATATCTGGTTTTGACTTTCATCGCTTCAATTATTGTTGTCAATTTTTTCGTCGAATATGAAAATATTTTTCAAACAGCCAAACACATTAAAAAAATAAAATGACGGATGTAAGGTATGCAAAGTGAAATTAAATAGACGTTAGGAATACATTAAAACAAGATTTAAAGTTTTAGAAAATTCTATTGCTCTTAATTTACAATAAACAAAATTAAAAAAACAAGTAAAATAAATAAATCAACAAATTTTATAATCTTTACATTAGGGTGAGCCAAAAAAACTAACCTATCGGATTTATGGGTTAAAATGAACCTACATACCGAGCAAAAAATTTCCCTGCAAGGCAAAATTTTTTGCTCAATTTTAAAAGGTGTCGGTGAGCATTCTAAGTTTTCCATTGAAATAACACGTAAAAAAATCTTTTTTCAATTTGCAGTTTTAGTGATTTTTTACACTTTTCAAAGCTTTCAAACATACGAATTTTTGACTTAAAAAAAATAATCCTGGTATAGATTCTTTGGGAAATTTTATGCTCTACAAGAATCCGCGACGTAAAAAATTTTATCTCAAACGGTTCAAAAGTTATAGTCTTTTTAATGAAAAAAGATTTTTTTACGTGTTATTTCAATGGAAAACTTAGAATGCTCACCGACACCTTTTAAAATTGAGCAAAAAATTTTGCCTTGCAGGGAAATTTTTTGCTCGGTATGTAGGTTCATTTTAACCCATAAATCCGATAGGTTAGTTTTTTTGGCTCACCCTACTGCTCCTATTAAAAAAAAGTATTGGCGATTTTTGGTACCTTATTAAAATATTTAATAGTTTGCATAGACCTATTAAACTCAGATGAAAAAGTGGTGCATTTGCTATGCACCCACTCTAGACATTTACAACAACGAACACTTTGTGATGTTTTTGTAGCCCAAACTTTACACCTGTAAACTGCCGGCGCCATTTTTTAATATCAATTTTGTAACTTTCCCAATGATTGTATCTATATTATGTATATTTTTGTAGTGTTAATACTTCCTTGAATGGAAATAGTTTTAAAATTACTGCGGATGATGCCAAAGAAGTAATTAATAAAACCCCACCTCAAGGACCAGCTGCTGAATTGGATGTACTTGGTATGTTTAAATTAAAATTATTTTTTTAAGTTATTATTGACATTAAGCATATTTTTTCTAGTCAATGCAGTTTATTTTATTAATCGTTCTGTAGTCTGCAAACTTTAAAAATGTACCTTGTGTCATGTTCTTTAAAAAATATTAGTTAAGTAAAATGTTATGACTTGTGGTATAAACGTAATGAAAGATTACCAAAAGTTTTCTTTGAATAACCTATGATTCCTAAAAATCCGGTAAAAGAAGGGACGCAGACTTTGAGGCGAAATTTATTTGACTTCCGTTCCTTTTTCATTTCCCATAGCATGGGCTAAAAATATTAAATCTCGATAACATGAATTCTGCATTTTTGACATGTTTTTAAAACTTCAAACTAGAATTTCTCGAAAATGAAGCCTCAAATCACAATTGAATACTTCAATGCAGAAACTGAATATGTCCTAGTTTTGAGATAACTAAGAAAAACTTAGCGTTTCTTTAATGGATATCTAAAATATTTGGGATATGAAAGTAAACTATTTTGTAGATACGAAGACATGATTTGGTATTTAAAGTTTTGAATTCATAGAGAAAAAAAATCACACAGGTTGTGGACATATAGTTTCTGCATTGATTGCTAATAAAATTTATAAAATATGTAATAAAGCGTTTTATTATCTAGTAGAAAATAAACATAACTTATCCCTAATGCAAAAATAAAAATAAAACAAATTCAATAATAATCTAACATTTTTTAAACATTTTCTGTTTCTACTTCAATGTCTTCCTCTTTTTCTTTCGTAGGCCACTGTAAGATATCCTGGTAAAATTATTCATGTTCTTCATCAATATACTGTAAAACGCTCTGGATATCCTTTAGTTTCTTCTTACTTATTCGTATTTTACTATTATAGGCAAATTTAGATGGTAAGGGAACTGGTGTTTTGCTCAGTCGCAATCGAAATGTGTGCACTGTTATTCCATCAATAAAATCTCTTGTTAGTATAGAACCTTGCATTTCAGTTTTAAGTTCAAATTGATAAAATTTTGATATATTAAAACTTTGTTTATCTCTTCCTTTTGAGTTTGCACTTTCAACAGATGTTACCATTTTTTTCCAATTTCCTGGCCACCATGTTTTAAAATCCTTTAAGTACCTTGTTTCTACCATTTGAATTTTGAATTTATCTCGCTTATTACTTGATTTTTTCATTATTAGAACATATTCCTCAGGAAAATAAACGCGGTCAGCTCTGCGTATAATCCGCTTAATTTGCCCGAAATCGCGGTCGCATGGTAGGAAGGAGTGCCCTCCTATTGGTAAAGAAAAAACTATTTTACTAAATCTACCGGAATCACAAAGTTCTGATAGAAATCTTATCAGTGTATGATTCTTGTTCTGACCGCTGCAGTTGTCGCTGAATAGGTAAAGTTCTTTTACTTCGTCGGAAATGTTATTTTTAATGTAGTCTTGCAGAAATGTGCAGACTTCATTGGGAAACTTTTTGGCTTTGCCTTCATGGTACATGTACACTTTAGCGTTGTTAGTGTTAAGATTATGGATGCCAAAAGTATAGACCCAGAGCTGAAGGTAGTAAAATATGTCTTGCACAGGAGTATGCGGCAGAGGTAAATTAGATATATAATCGAAACATAAACCGACTAAATCATCCCTGTCTTTACACATCTCCTGCACCGTTTTAATTTTGTTGTAAAATTTTCCACTCCTAATTTTGTGAACGATTAATTTAGCACTATAAGTACGTTTTGCATTATCATTGAGCACTTTACTTTTTATTTTCACTTCCAGTTGTTCACAGATACTGCATGTATCGACTTGTGGTCTGCCAAAAGACAGTGAAAAGTTTTGTACTTTAGAAAGAAATAATATGAAACTTTCAGCTCTGGAAACTTTTTTAAAAACATTTCGTGCATTATCTTAATATTTAATCGGGGATCCAAAAAATTTTTTTCCTTACTTGAGTAATGGGAAACTTTTGTGGGGTAACTCTCTATGTGTTCGTGTATTTTTCCTACGAGTTCTGCAGAAATTGCATTTCCACTTCCCAACTTCTGACAATTTATATATGCGATACACCCGTCCATTTGTAATGCCATGGACTGCTATGAAAGCTTTTTTACAAACTTCTTGCCTTTTATTGTTCACAAACAAAAAGTATTTAAAGGAGCAAGATTTTTGTTTATTGGCCACATTCTTTCTACTTCGCTTTTTTTGTACATTCGCAACTGTAATCAATCCTTGCAAGTAAATGTCTTGCTCGTTTTTGTTCGTGAAATTGTTGAAATGACTTAAACGATATTGAAGATATTCTGTAGTGAGACTTGAAAAACATTTCTTTTTACAGCTGAAATATAAATACTTCTTTAGTAATCAAATACCCATTATTAACTAAAATGTAGAGCATACCTGCATGGGTCACCTGTTTTTCTGCTTTCAATGATATTTCCTCTCCAGTTTGTATGTTGCTTCCCAGCAACCTTAGATTTTCTGATTACATTTCTTCGGTCTGGAAAATACCTTTATCTACGCCAGTGAGATAAGAACTTCTTATCCCACTCATTTTGAGTGAGATAAGAAGTTCATTAACGCACGCGTTTTTCTCTGCTTTTAACCAATCAGATAAAAAAGTCAAAATGTCAAAATAACCCTAAATTAAGTTTTAGACAAAAATAATTACCGTTTATTTTTTCATTTAGAGGCGTAGATAAAAATTTGTACAATATACGTGTGATAACGCTTTATTAACGTACTTTTGCGATTGCCCAACTCGTGCTACGCACTCGTTGGGCAAATTTCGCATGCGTACGTTAATAAAGCTCTTATCCCACTTATATCGTAAATAACTATTAATTCTTTTTGCAGGAATCAAGGTTTCACTTTCTTCTTCGTAAATACTGCTATCACTACTTGATTCTGACATTATAACTGAACTAAACAAATAAATGATCACTTGCACAATTTAAATTATAATATGTCACATACACTTGGTTGCACAGGAAATGTGTCTTCTAGATGACACATGTATGACAGTTTTATACAAATTGGAGACTTGATTTTAATCCTTGCGTTTGATGAATTTTAATGTGACATGTAAAGTGACTTTTTATCATATCCTTGATTTACAAAAGTATTCTTTACAATATAGAATAAATTTTAAAAATCGGTCACTTGACTTTACTGATTACAACGGCTAAAAAATTAAAAAATCAGCTGTTTCTAATCGCGCGCATACGATTTATACATATAGCTCAGAAAGTGAACCTGTCCTGGACATATTTAGTTTCTGTACTATATTAACGCCTTTGTATAATCTAGATTACCGTGACATGTGAAATTTCTACGCCATTCGATCGGGCACCCTTTACTTATAGTAAATCCATGTTTAACTCAATTTCCCTAAAAAGTGGACATCTTTAGTTTCTGCATTGACCTATTCAATTTTCCAATGGTAACTTTTTTAATTGAACGTAGAATTCAATAACATCTAAGAGCGAGTTGTTTTTCTCAATGGATTGATTTTAAGAAGTAAACTTTTTTGGTAAAAATAATTTCTGCATGATAATATTTAGTCAAATCATGCAAGTTATTTGCTAAAAAGAAGTTTTGTATTTACATGTAAGAGCGAGTAATAATAAGCTGTCCTAGAGAGTTTGCATCGATCGGTGAACGAAACACTCGAGACGGCCGAATTATTTAATCTCAGCAATATTTAAACGCCTTAAAATACTTTCGCTTCGCTCGAGAGTTTAACTCATTTAGTGATTCAATCCTAACCAGCTCATGTTATAATTAAATTCTAACGAATAATGAAAGGATTTATTCATTTAAAGAATGGTCAATTCTTGCTGGGGTATGGTTTTGCTTTTTTGTTGAGGACCTCGCATTTTAAAAATTATACTACCTACATATTTTAATTTTTATAATGTTGCCCCTTTAATAAATTACTAGAGCAGTATTATAAAAATAATAATAATAAAAATACATAATGCTCCTGATATGGAATTTTTAATTTTTTTTTGATTTTAAAACAATTTCCCATCAAATTTTAATTACATTAGTATTTATATTTTAAATAATCAGTTAAAAATATTCACAAATATATTCCTGGTATCCACAGTTTTTTATACAGGGTGTCACCAAATAAGTTGTCATTCTTTAAGGGGATGATAGTACACGTCAAAATAAGAAAGTTTTGCATTAGAGCAATATTTTTTTAAATAAAAAAATCATTATTTTTTTAAAGTAAAGTAGATATTTTGGGCCGCCACTGGTTGTTCCTAACCTATGACAACTGACGCAAAATATGCTTGCACAGTAGGTAATAATCTACATTCAATACAAATTTATATTTGTGTTATCATTGAATACTTTGTTGATAATTGTTTTTTGTTTTGCATACTCAGTTATTTTTAGGTACTTTGAATAAAACAATACTTACTTTTTATTGTTAGTTATCTCGAGGTTTCCGTGGTTTTCCCATCGATTTTAAATTTCACCTTTTACTTTTTACGATTGATGCTCATGTATTATCCACACAAAGTTGACAGCGGCGTACAAAATTATGATGTGTCGCTCTTGCTATCAAATTCTAATGTGTCAACTTCGCTCGGGTACACAGTGCTGGATTAACCTATAGGCCAACCTAGGCCATGGCCTAGGGCGCCGCGAAGCCAATAGGCGCCCAGGCAGAAGGCTCAATTTTTTTAAGTAGCTTGAATATTAAAATTAATCAATTAAACCCTTTCTGCAGAAGATAAATAACCCACAAAATTAAAAAAAATCGGGATATATGGGTTATCTCGATTTTATGTTATTTCTGTGGGTTGGTTCCCTTGTGCAGAAAGGCGTCCAGGTGACGAAATGTTATAATAATAATAATAATAATAATAATCTTTATTGCCCAACAGGATTCTCCCAATTACAGGACAATGGTATAAATATATATGTATAACAAATATATCGAACATACAATACAAAAACTTAAGAAATAAAATAATAAAAA